ATAGAAACTTTTGTGTGTGGTCCAATCGCCGCCAAACTTTGCATACATATGTTCTCGACACCGGTCCATCCAGTAGGCTACTTTTCGCCGCCAAATTTCCACTCATACCATTAATATCTATTTTGAAAAAAAAATGCTCTTATCAATTCAAATCAGCCACTTCCAACTTCCGTGTAAACAGTCACGGTAAAATTAATTTTCACACAGGAAAGCGGGTAAGTCGAACCTTTTGAGCTGCGCATAAACTTTGCTCTTTTTGAGCCAGTTAGACTCATGTGCAGCCAAAGAGGGGAATTCCATCTTGTAGGCAATGTTTTCCATCGTGCGAAGTTGGACTTGATCCATGAATAGTCCCCAAGAAAAAAGCGGCCAATAGTGCATTTATAGCCGCAGCTTATTAGGAATGCTACTTATGCAGAAACTTAAGTCTTCGACTTCTGTATTTTGATCGGATTTTCTGTTGTTCCGTGCTGTACAAAAGCACATGATAATAGATGGAACTCTTTTCAAGCGGTCCAGCACCACAGATCGCATTAAACTCCAAATCACCTCGCACAGCTCACTGCACTCTTTGTAGAATGTTTTTGACAGGAATGGGCAACCTGACTAAAAGCTCCCGCCAAAGAAATAGGCGCAGATCTCTGTAAAAAAATACAGAAAGGATATATAGATAAATCTTATTCAGATAGTGCTGCCAAACGTATTTCTAACCGCCAAAGGCACAGTGACATTATATAGGCTATCCCTACGGTTGCTCTATAGTGAATGATCATCACATTTTTGTAGAGATAGGAAAGGCGAAATGTTGTTCGCTGCAAAGACCTCTAGAAGAAATCATTTAATGCAGTTATTAAACAGTAATTCAATGTGAATTTTGCAGTCAACTTGAACATTACAAATTATATTCACAAGAAAGAAGATGTATATAAATAGAGGGAAACTATCCCGGGATATAGCGAAGAGTATTTCTTACAGAATCTATTATGTACGTGGGGGCATTACAGATTAGCCTCAAAGTAGCAAGCAAGTGATATATGAGGAGCACGATCCCGAAAAGTTGAATGAAGGAACGAACACTGGCAAATCTTGCCCCATTCACCTATTTCAACGCCCTTTACAAACAGAACAGTAAAATTTGCAAATATTTTATCTGACCTAGATGGATTCAGAAACGCATATGCGATGTTCTCAACAGACTAATGGCAGGAATTCAGAATTACAAATTTCCATCCTTCCCAATCAGTGAATTGCATGCGTAAGCCATTAGAGAGTGATTTCAAAGACATCTCCTCTTTGAGAAACGAGGGTTATTAATATCACAAGTATAGTTGAAACTCGGTTATTCGCGAAAAGAAATCCGGGTCTGTGAAATGAATGTAAAACACACATCACGACAAATAGCCACATTGTACTTCAAAATGAAGAACAAGTAGCGATAAAACAATAGAAACGGGCCTGATTAAGCTACATAAATACAAATAGTTCGATCAACAATACATAGGACTAACGAGTAGAAGAAGGGCATAAACATGATCACAAGGCTATTTTTATCATTGAAAACATGAAACTAGTTATAATTTCGAGCTAGAACATTTCAAACCTCAATGTTGTAAAAACGCAGCATGAAATTCCTAGCACCGAAATGAAGACATAGAGAACGCTGGAATATCAAAGCTGAGGAGGAACGAAATTCTCAGAACACACCCACCGATACATGACTGCCTTTCATGATGTTCACATATATGAACGAAAGAAAAGAAACCAACAAAGACATAAAAGGCGGACGATGAGAAATTGCGACAGTACCGGCTCTTCGGACTCGGTACGAGGGATAATCCGAGGCAACCTCCGCATTCGCTTATAAATTGAGCTCTTGCGCAATCTTGGACGCGATATTCTTAAATCCTATAGAAGTTCCCGAAATTCGCTTGAATCGAACTCCATTCAGACTGAGGCGAGGAAGTTTGCAGACCTGGAAAACCCTCCCTATAATTGGGCAAAATGGGTGAAAAAAAAGGAAAGCAAAATTATAAAAAACAACAAACCTCCATCTCCCATTGCACAAGAGAATCAGCATTGGGATCACCGTGAACACACAGGATTAAGTACCGTTCACGTTGTTCATAATCGCAGCCATTGGCATCGAGAACTTTACGGATTTCCCTAGAAAACGAAGGATGCGTTGTGATCGATAAATGTCAAAATAAAAATATTTCTCTTCTTTGATTCAACAGGATAGGCGGCTGGAAGGCGGGATTTCGTGACCTAATTAAGGCTAGAGAGTGAGAGCATGCGCGCAGGAGAGACGCAGATGCGG